TAGCAGGACGGTTGTCTTCCTGGGATGCTTTTTTATCTAAAACTGACTATCTAAATCATGTTATAATATGGAGAATTTACAGTGGCAAATCTTTTCGTTAAGAAGTTATTTTACGTGAATATATGTAAATTTTTCTAAAGCAAGGACTTTTGAGAAAATGCTCTAAACTCAGGCAAATGAAAAGAAATTTTTAGCGGTGTAATTCACTATGATTAAGCGTTTTCAAAAAAATCACATTATTCGTCTAGTATTAAAAAAAAATCACTCAATGGATGATTAAATTCCTGTATTCAATTTTTTTAGCCCGAAGGGACAATTTGCCCAGAAGGACTATTAATTTCGTTTTGGCATTTTGAGTCGGCTCACTATAAATGTCGGTTCACTTTTCAAACCGATTCAAATTGCTGCCACCAAATATTAGAGCCCGCATTATATTTATGGAAATTAAATAACGAAAAATTTGCATCAATGTATGCATGTTTCTCTCACTGTGAAAAAAAAACAACGGTACCTAGAGACATCAAATTTTGAATAACGTAGTCCCCCATTCGAATATGAGCATCTGGAAGCCTAAATTTGAAATTTAAAATTTGTTATATTATCTGTACGGATGTGTAAAAAAAAAAAACATTTTTATCTCCAGAATACATACCAGAATATAGAAAAGACTGTATACCAGAAATTCTAATGATTTGCTCTTTTAAATATTTTGTGATATTGTTGTTGAATTGAGTTTTATGGTTTAAGTGCGAAGAACATTATATTTAATAAGTAAATGGGCGTTTTGTGTTAAAAAACGCCATGAGGGACGTTCTTCAACACAAAACGCCCCCTTAGGCGTAATATAAATTCTGAAAGTTTTCAGATTTTTATTTTTTAAATTTATTTTTAATCTTGCTAATCAAATTACCCTTTTTTCTAGCTCTGTAAGTATTTAAAATACTCATTCCCGAAATGTTATTCTGTTCAAATGCCTTTTGACATTACAAAAGAGAGATGATGTGAGTGAAGAATAATGGTTTGTTATTGAATTAAAATACTAATGTGTTCTAATAATGTATATTATGTGTAATAATCGTTCTGTACTTAACAATAAATTCTTACTGGCACGAATTTCATAAAACACAGACAGAGAGCAAGAGGGAGATATAAATATGTAAAAAGATAATTTACATAAGTTCACTAAATTATTTTTAAAAATACTTGAATAAAAATAAATCTTAAAGATTTTCAGATTTTATATTACACACAAAGGGGCATTTTTTTTTTCATTTACACACACATACGCATTTGGACCACATTTGGGGTAATACCCCTTTGGGCTAGAATCATTTAAAAACAACATATCTTTAGAATTTCCGATAGACAGTCTCGTGCGCTGGAGATAAGAAATGTTTTATTCCGTACAGTGTTACCACTGCTCGCTTTGAGATCTTTGAGCTTTTTAATCAAAAATTGGCTGAAGTTTTACAAAATAGAAAACAGACAATAAAACTAATTCAAAAAAGTCATTTAATCAAAATATTTACTCAACCATTTAGATACAAGGGTTGTCCAGAATAATGAAAACAACTAAAAATTAAGAGCTGTGCATTTGATACAGTAAAAAAGCACTTTTGGCTTGCAAAACTGCTTTCTTGGAAAGTGGAATTCTGAATAGTGGTAATATGTATATATACCATTTTTCGATCAGAAACTGTTCCAGTTTCGTGAGCGAGAAGATCTGTAATTTCATCTTCATGTTCTTCATGTTAACCCATCAGTAAACAATCTGATTTCAGCAAATGGGAAACACTACCTTTTATATTAGTTGCCCGTAAGAAACAGTGTGTGTATCATTATGCGGGAGTAATAGCTTAAAATAGTTACATAGTTACCTTTACGTATTCTTCCTTGTAACGTTATAGTCAGATCTATTGCAAACCGCAATATGAATGCACAAAGCATAACTAACAGGAAACAAATTAGCTTCTGATGATGCTTCTATGCATAAAATGTTCTCGAAAAAGGGATTGATGCGAATGTTAACCTATCAGTAAACAGCATTTGTTGCTATTGTTCAGCATTCGACGTTTACTTCTAATGTCAAAAATCCTTTTACCAATTCAAATTTAATGACATTGTTAAGAATTAGAAAGCATATTATAATAGAAAGGATGCTCTATAGTACGACAAAGTTCTTTTTTAGTTGCGGCATTATACCTTAACTCTTTTCCCAAATTAAAAGTATATTACAATTTTTCAGCTTAATGTAGTTTAAATTCAGTTCTATTATAAATTTCTCACCTCGCCAGTACTGAAAAAAATTGTATTTATAAAGTTTAAAAGAAGTTAAATTTCTTTTAAAGTCTTTAAGCGCAAAATATTAGAGCAGAAGCCGTGAAATTTACTTCCCCCCCCTTTAACCTATTAACTTACTTTTGGAGCGAAACCTTTGTAAACGCAAATATAATCACATACTTCTCTAAACAGAGTTTGGTATGATTTTTACTGCCTACAGAGAAAAACACTGCAGAAACACATTTAAAAATTAAGGCGTAGCAAAGACATAGTTATAAAGAAAGGAAACAGTTTAGGAAGATAAACAGAATTAAAATGCAACTCGAGAGGCTCTGAGTCAGTAGCATTCTAGACAATATATAGCGTTTATAAACTTAGTTTACGTTTTAGAGTAAAAAAATGATTGATGACTACCTAAAACAAAATTTCCCTCTATAAAATTTCTAAAAATGTTCGTGGTAGTTTTGAAATTTTAAAACTTATAATAATGAATTGTAACACCTCTAAACTTTTTATTTTATTTTATGTCTTCGAACAGTTAAAGATTATCGTCTCACTTGATTCATATGAACAAAATGAAGAGTATTACTTTATTAAATTGCTATTTTTACAGTAAATAGGTTGAATTTTTGTTAATTTTGACGCATACAAATAGTTTTATCTCTGGAAATCGTAGTAGGTCAAACGAATAATAAATAAATAAATAAATAAATAAAATAAATAAAAAGAAAATATGAAAGCTTTCAGATTTTAAATTATTGCAAAGTTTTTTTTTTTTTTTTTTTTTTTTTACATATTGTGTGTTATTTTTATTTCAAATAAGAGTAACACACATATCATCACACTTAAGCCATAAAATTCAGTTCAAGAGCAATACCGCAACATAATTTTCAATTGTGCATATCTTTAGAATAATTTTCGATACACAGTTTCACGAGCTGGGGATAAAAATGTTTTTCTATACAACGTTGCCATTTCTCGCTTTGAAATCCTTGAGTTCGTAATCAAAAATACGTTAAACTTTTACAAAATAGGAAATCGATAATAATACAAATTCCAAATTTTAAATTTGATCTTCCACATGCCCATAATTGTAGGAGCATTACGTCATTCAAAATTCGATGGCTTTGTAATTACGGATATCATATTTGAACGAAAATATCCGTTTTGACCGCTATCGAATGCAATTTAACTACGTTTTTGAGTGATATCTGTATGTAAGAACAGAAAGGACTGGTTTTCCCCAAACGGATTATAAAATTGATTTAGAATGGATTCAGAAGAGATTTTTTCGTGACGTCTGTACATACGTATGTATCTCGTATAATTGAAAAAAGAGTAGCCTTAGAGTATTGAAATTTAGTATTTAGGTCTGCTATAACATGTGGTTGTGCACCTCCTCTTTTAGTTACAATAGGCCGCACCAAATATTGAAATATAATATATATATATATATATATATGTTTTTTAACAGTATTTCGTGTTTTATGTTTTTCTGTACTTTACAATTTTAAAGTTTTTATGTATTTCTGCCTTGCCGCTAAGTGAGAGCTGAATTAATTGAATGAGATATACATCTCTGATGAATTTCGAGGAAATAAGTTTAAATGAAATGCAGTAAAAAATATGTATAATTTAATAAGCCGTACAAAGAAATCATGTAGTCTCCACATCAGATTTTTTTTTCGTAGACCTTAAAACGCCGCTCATCTTTCTTTTTTTTTTTTTTTTAATTTTCGTTAAAGTTTAGAAAAAAAAAAAAAAAAAAAAAAAAAAAAAAAAAAAAAAAAAAAAAAAAAAAAAAAAAAAATACTTTTACTTCTCGAAACAAAACATATAATCTTTTATTTAATTAAAATTAAATTATGGCCTTATTATCCTAGAAAATAATGAAATAAAAAATAATAATCTATATACGATTTTTAAAAAAAGTATGATTTTAGCAAAAAAAAGTTAGAAGCCACATAATTTTAATACTTTTTCTATAAACTCCACCTCGTTTACATTTAATGCAATTTAACGGAGAAAAATATAAATGCGCAAATAAATAAAGTACAAGCAAAATTTATTATGGCTTGAAATAGAGAACTCGATTACTAGAGTTTCGGATATCTCGAATTAGGAATAAGTGAGAGCACTGTTTATTTGTGTGAAAGAAAACGGATAACTTATCTGGAGTTCTGATACGAAATCTTACTTGCGAATAAAAACTTATCTGGAGTTCTGATACGGTATCTTATTTGCCAATAAAAATTCATTGATCCTTTAATTTGTCACAGAGAACTATTAATGATTAAATAACATTTTAATAGAAAAAAAGTTCAAGGTTATAAGAATTTATATAAACATTTAACTGACGTAAATAGTTATCTGAAAAATAGAAATGCGTTATCTGAAAATGATGAAACATTATGAATAACGTCCATCTGCGTTTACCTCGAATAACTGAAGTTCTGTTGTACCTTCACATAGGAATCGGAAACATCCGTGCTCGCCAAATTTAAATTCGCCGCCAAACGAAACAAAAGACCATCAAACGATGTACAGCAAGGGGGGGGATGAGTGAAGGCGATACATGGATATTCCTTGAACAAGCTGGGGGGGGACGAAATGAAGAGTTGAGGGGGATAAGTTGAGCGGTGCGCTCCGATCGTGAGGATGCGTCCACCCCATGATGGGTCACACGTGGGCACTCTAAGAACCAAACAACAATGAAAAAAGCGGAGTAGGCTTATTTGGGTGAAACCTCAACAGGTGCAAAGACATAAGCTGTCTCAGCTTGCCCAGAACTTGGATGCTTTTTCATACGGCGCTATGAAGTGTGTGCATGCGATATTGCAAAGTGACGGACGTCATCGTATTTATTTAACAGGTATGTTTATGTAATTTTTTTTTTTGAAAATAATTAAAAATAGGAAACAGATATTTTGCCATTTATGTAATTTTTTAAAAATAATTGTCATATAGTCATCGGAGATGTAATTAGTACATTTAAAAGCACTGCTTAATCTTTTGAATAAGCGATTTTATTAGACGTTTCATACATAAATGATAACCTATGCATCAAATAATTGAATTCAACTCGTTTTTTTAATACTATTTGCAGCTTATTACGGACATAAAACAATGGTAATTTGATATAGAAGCTAATGTATAAGATGGAGTTTTGCAATGATAATATTATATCTATTTTGAGAATGAAAAAAAAAAAAAAATAAAAAAAAAAAAAAAAAAAAAAATCTGAAATGTTTCAGATTTTAAATTACGTCCAAAGGGGCGTTTTTTAACATTTTGTGTGTTACCTTTCTTTATTAAGTATCATGTTCCTCGCACTTAAACCATAAGATCCAGTGCAACAGCAATATCGCAAAATAGTTTTAAAACGAGCATATCTTTAGAATTTCCGATACAGAGACTCACGCGCTGGAGATAAAAATGTTTTCCTGCACAACGTTGCCATTGCTCGCTTTGAAATCCTTGAGTTTGTTAATCAAAAATTCGTCAAAGTTTTAAAAAATAGGAAATCGATCATAAAACAAATTTCAAATTTCAAATTTGGTCTTCCACATGCTCATATTCGTTGGAGGATTACGTTATTCAAAATTCGATGACTCTATGTACCGTTATTTTATGACAATGTGAGAAATATACATACATTTACGCAGATTTTCATTATTTAATTTCTTCAAATATAATGCAGGACTCTAACATTTTATGGCAACAGTTTGAAAAGTGAACCGACATTTATCCGTCCGACGCAAAATGCCAAAACGAAACTAATAGTCCTTCGGGATTCAAATCCCTTTGGACTAAAAAAAAAAAAAAAAAAAAAAAAAAGGGAGATTTCTTTACATAGAGAAATTACTGTTAATATTATGCAGCTCGTTGCAGATTTGTTTTATTTATTTATTTATTTTTTTTTCAGGGTGTGAAACAATTTGCTTATGCTTTAAGTTAGCGTCTTTATTTCAGCACCTGTACTATACTCATTTCTCATAGATGTTAAAAGCAATACGCAATTAAGCTGTGTTCTCAGTAACTATTCTTATTCCACGTATCTTATGATATATTCAGTAAATAATTAAATTAATGACAATCTCCATCTTTTAATTTTCTTTTATAAAAGAAGTTATACTATTGCTTATTATTATTACTAGCCCAAAGCGCGTTAACCCAGAAGGACTATTAATTTCGTTTTGGCATTTTGCGTTGGTTCACTATAAATGTCGGTTTACTTTTCCAATTGTTGCCACCAAATATTAGGGCCCTGTGTTATATTTAAAGAAATTAAGTAATCAAGAATCGGCATAAATGTATGTTTCTCGCATTGTGATAATACAACGGTACCTAGAGATATCCAATTTTATAGTAACGTAACCTTCCACTGAATATGGACATCTGGAAGCCCAAATTTGAAATTTGTTTTATTATCGATTTCATGTTTTGTAATACTTTAAGGATTTTTGATTAACAAACTCAACGATTTCAAAGCGAGAAACGGCAACACTGTTCGGGGGGAAAAAAAATAATAACCTCCAGCACGCGAGACTGTGTATCGGAATTCTAAAGATAATATCATTTTATAATTATTTTGTGATATTGCTGTTGAATTGAATTTTATGATTTAAGTGCGAAGAACATGATATTTAATAAATCAAAGTAACACACAAAACTTTAAACAAACACTCTTTTGGGAGTAATATAAAATCTGAAAGCTTTCAGATTTTATTCTTTATTTTTAAAATCTGCGAAAGTGCGGCTGCTGATTCTAACATTGCTTCTTTTTATTTATTAATTTTTAACATTTTGCTTATTGTAAATAATTTCATAATGGAGGGGAAAAGTTTACTGCTTACTCGTTTCAAGTGAAACTTGAAAGCCGCTTTGATATTAATGTAAAAATATTAAGTGATATGTATAATATTTAAATGAAGTTTTTTTCTGTATTTTGTAGATAGTAGGAGATAAACTGAAATTATTTTCCTCAAATATTAGTAAGTACTAATGTAAAGTGCTAAAGTAGTCTAATTAATTAATTTATTTTATTTTAATTTCTATCTGTCAATAAATATCTATCTAGTTTAGCTGAGATTGACTAATAAGAATTTGTGTTTTTTACGCAAGATTATAAAAATTCACCTCATAACTCCTCCCTAAAAACAAAACAAAACAAAAAAAAACAAAAAAAAAAAAAAAATTTGAATTTCAATAATATGAAAAAAAAAATAATAACATCAGATCAAATTTTTTATTTCATAGTGTATTTCTATTTAAGTAAGAACTTCCTGCATTTATTATCTCATATATTTAGATCACTAATTATGATTCTAAAATGGAGGCAATTTATATTTTATTTCATAAGCTATTTTTAATGCTGAATATTGTCTTAAATTTTTTGAAACTGTGTTTTTCTAAAAGAACGAAAATCCTATAGGTTTAACAAATCTAACGAAAAAAATTCACGCCCCGGGGCGCAGTTTTTGAAAGAAGTGGAAAGAAGATCCATTCTATGATTCATATTCTATTAAAGAAAATGAGGAGAATTTCTCAATTTGTCACAAATATTATTACAAATTGCTGTTGGATAACGTATGTTTTCATTTTTTCTCAAAGGTCGGTTGTCGATTTGTACATAATAATATTTTACCAAGTAAAATATTTTAATCAATTATGAAGAACAAGTAAATTAAGAAATTGTGATATAGTAAGACCTGTCTGTGATGAACTGTGAGCAAAGTTGGGATGAAACTCAGAGAATGTCAAATAGGAATTAAGAAAAAATGCCATAAATTTTAGGTAACCTGAAACAGAATAAAAGTATATTCTAGGTAAACTAAAAGAGAATATAAGTATTATAAAAAATAATCAAAATTATGGTTAGAAAATAAAGAATGTGGTATTTTTAATTTGGATGGCATATACCAAAAATAATTATTTGAAAGTATCAAATCTTACCATCAAAAAGCTATAACATATTGGATACAATGCATTTTTCCTACACTTCACATATCCACCAAGTATTGTTAAGATATTTGGATAAAGAAAAATATAGCCTTGACCATTTTCAATATATTTTTATCGAAAAACGTGTTTTCTAACATATCGGACACAATAGAATCAATATATGTGTTCTATCAGTTTCACATTTGTAAGCATTTATAAGGAGTTTAATTTTTTAAAATGATAATAAGCAACCTTATTGGAAAGAAACCTCTTAGAATTAATATCTCTATAATGAAGCCATTCAGATTCATTTCCATTTTATTTCATTATTTTTGTCCCCTTTGCAACGTACTGCTATTGTCTTCTAGTAATATAGTAATATTTCCTCATCTATATGGATAATCCATTTCAAAATATATCACAACATGAAATCGAAGTATGTGCAGTGAAAGAAAAGTATAACAAGAATAAAATTCGAGTAATACATAAAAATTTGCAAGACGTTACGGATAATATACTTAATACACGGTATACTTAATTAGATACTCATGTAACATATATAAATAAATATTAACTGTTACGATACATATAAATAAATGTTCTATATAGTAAGACTAAACAGATAATATTTATTCTATATATTGCCGAGAAAAGTACAATGAAAATTATGCTCCATTTATGATAAGTAAAGCTTTGAAGAAAAGTGTATATTACGCGTTAAATTTTTTTCAGGGGCTTAAATCTGCATAATTGCCATAAAATTCAAAATGCGGCACATAATGCAGTTTCTGCCATTCTTCTGAGACTAAACTATTCTTTCATAAAAGAAAAAAGGATTAGAATGAAAAAAAAAAAGTAAAGCATAAATTGCGAAGAAGACCAAATTAAAGATGATAATGAAAAAGTAAAATTAGGTAAGCGAAGTTTTAGCTTTTCAAAAATCCCTCTTTATTCTTTACTTACTAGAAGTGTCAGGTAATTAGAGAGACCGTTTCTCGAATACGAAAGAAAGTAAACCTGTTTGTGAAAGAATTCAAGGGCGTTGTAACTTATAAAATTTTAGGAGGATGTGCTGTTAATGCTTCCACGCGTCTTATTTTCGCATCACAATGTGCTTAATACTCGTACTAAAGAACGTCCACAAAAAATTTTAACATATCTTTTCCTTCTTCATTAACACGATCTTTTCGGTAAAAAATGTACGTTACGATTAAAATTTCTTGATGAAAATCAACGAAAGTTTCAACTGTAAAATTGTCTTTGTTACCTTACAGTTGTGTTGCACTGCATTAGAATTAGCACCTCGTCACTTTCAATGGAGTATTCTGAAAACACTATGTGTGTTCCTGGGCGTTTATATATTGAAAAAGAGGTTCTTGTTCCTTAAACTAAAGCAATGAATTAGCGCTTTGTTTAATTAAACATTTTATCGGTCATAAACACACATTTACTGTATTTCACAAACCACTGGTTCATGTGTATTTAGAATTCACTCTCTTTCCCCAAGTGTACGAGGCCTTTTTCCTTTAGAAAGTTTTCCAAGAAGGCATTCCTTTGCTTAGCCATATACTCGAGTACTTTGCCATAATAATAAACTAAACCAAAACCAAACTACTCTGTTGCCATTCCAAAACAGCATTCTTCAAATGTAAAAAGATTACATAGTATTCTTTAAAATTTAACAATTCTTGCATTTATATTCTTGCACACACGCACCTCTCCAGATATATATATATATATGTATAATTTATAAGGGTAAAAAAATAGAAAATCATTTACAATAAAATAATCCCTCCGCTTGAGCTGCTCCAGATGATTAAATTCTAAAGAAATTATTATAATATGAAATTTTAATTAAAAGGCGTAGGAGGAATTGTTTAGGGTATTAATTTTGTTTACTGTTAATTGGCAAGGAAATTTGAAAGCTGG